GGCATAAAGGGGGGGGGGCTCGGAAAGCAAGATATTTTATCTTCAAGTTGTCAGCCAATGAAGGTGGTGCGTTTGTGAAGACAAGTTTTTGTCTCCCATTAATTTCGTTCCTTTCGTGCTTTTTGATCTGTGGGCGGCGCCAAGTCTGTGATTATTTTCTCCTCTTGCTCTCGTCCCTCCCCCCACGTTTCCGGTCGGTAGTACCCGTATCTTTTCGCATGTGTCGTCTCTGTCTGCGGGCGATTTCTCTCTCTCTCTCTCTCTGGTGTGGTGTGGCTGGCCGTCATCCCCCCCCCTCGTGACTCCTCCGTTATCTCGGTCTCGGTGTGCTGTCGTAGTGTGCGTCGCCCATCAAACCACGTACATGTGAATGCATGCCATGACTCGGTCATTCCCAGTCGTAATTTTCTTGATTCCCTCGCCGCCGCTGTTGCACATGTGTTCGCGTTGTTTCTTGTGTGTTGCTGTTCAACAAACCGTCGAGGTGGTACAACTTGTTCATGTATGCTTTCGTCTTGGCCTGTTCTTCTTCCCACCGTGCTTCCTCTGTGTCTCTTTCTACGAATCTGTTCCGCTTTGCTCCCTCCTGCAAAGGTGTGCACGGCCATGGCCATGAACACGTGCGTGGCCGCACAGCAGCCCCTCCGTGCCCTTGACCTCTTCAGGGACATGCGGGACGTTGGCAGGGTGAGACCACACTTGGTGTGTGTGTCAATTGCTTCTGAGTACTGCTGCTATTTGCGGCATTGTCTTTTGTGGTGCCGGCCGGCCGTCGCCACTGCTGTTGTTGGTACGATATGAGGGCCCTGTTTTGTGGCGATATATGCCCAGAAAATCGACCGCCACTATCAGGACACCGGCGCTATTCAAAGTACAGAATGGCGTGGTAGCCAGCACTATAGCAGGTCCTCTACTGTAGCAGCTATTGACAAGCACGGTTTCCATGGCAGCCATTTGGTGATACAATGGCGTGGTCGTCGAATGAGGAGGGAGCACACTCCGCCGGCGTTGCTCTTGGTTTTTTCACTCCACACCAATGACCGTGTTTTTCACTCGCCACCGTTGCTCGTGCTCGTGTTTTCAACACACACCACCAAAGCACGTGTTTTCACTTTACGAACACTGCTCGCTCGTGGTTTTCACTCCGCACCGTTGTTCGTGTTTTCAATGCTCACCAGACTTCCATGGTTTCCAATCCACCCACACCAATGCTCGTATGTTTGGTCCTGAAAAATGCAGATAGCGGCGCACAACATCTGGTTCATGCACTTTAACACCAATGTTCATGTTTCACTCCACCTACGCCAACGCTCATATTTTTCGTTGTGAAAAAGAAAGTTTCCGGAGTGCACCGTCTGATCCATTCACTTGACACCAGTGTTCGTTATTCTCACTCCACAAAATGTTTCGTACTATTCGTTCTGAAGAATGAAATTTCCGGGCGCACAAGGTCTGGTCCATCACTTCGCCATGATGTTCATGATTTTCACTCCAAATATATGTTGGTACTGAACAATGCAATTCCCGGCGTGTACGTACAACGCCGTGGCGCAGGTTTTCCCCAGGATTTCCTCTGTGACCGCCCTGCTTGAGGCCCACGCGGCGCTTGGGCGGTGGGAGGACGCATTGGTAGAGCTGAGAGCCCTCAGCGCCTCCGGGGTGAAGGTATGGGACGGGGCGGGATACGGCACTGTACAGACGATGCACGCAGACCAAGTGTCCCTTGTGTCGGGTGACAAAGTTGTTAGGTTCATGTCATTTGTGTTGTTGTTGGTGGTGTGGCTCCTGGTGCTCCAGGCCAACGTATTGACTTGTTGACAATGTTGTGATGTGCATGTCGGTTGTAGTGATGTTCTTGCTGCTGCTGCTGCTGCTGCTGCTGCTGCTGCTGCTGCTGCTGCTGCTGCTGCTGCTAGTGATGTTACCCCCGGTGGTGCTGCTTCGATTCCAGCACAAGAGGAATAGAACTGCAAACTTACTTATCTCTTGTGTTGCCCGTGCCGTCACACATGTGGTACACGTTCACAGCCCGACGGAAGGGCGATCGCGTTCGCTATGGCGGCATGCAACGCCGCCAGGAAGTGGGAGCAGACGATCAGCCTTTACCACTACGCTCTCAAGATGGGGATTGAAAGGTATGAAGGTCGTGCTATGCACGCGTCGTTTCTGTATCTACGAAAATACATGGAGCAGAAAATGCCTACTTGCTGCTTGATTTTCGTTTTTCTTTGTGTGTGTTTTTTCGCTTGTTGCGCCGCCCGCGGACCCGCCTGCTCCTTTGACGCGTCTTTCCAGTGCCTTCCTTGTCGTCGTTGTCGCACCATGTTGGTGTTCGTGGGCGCTTGTCTTTCATGCTTATGCTGTTGTTGCTGGTTATGCGAAGTTCACCGGCCTTTTCGTCTTTTCGACGCTACCTCTGCTGCTGCTGCTGGCGCTGGCGCTGGCGCTGGATTTTTCTGCCCAACAATTGCCGGGTTGCAGCTCTATGGAGGGGCTCGTTCTCGTGGCTAGGGCCTACGGTGCCGGGAAGGACTGGCAGGCTGTCCTAGGAGTTCTTGCCACCGCTGAGGAGGCTTGCTCTTCCGCCGCGGCGGACGCGGTGGCAACGGCGGCGGCTAACGATCGCGGTGGGGAAAGAGCGGCGGCGGTGTCGGCGATAAGGCATCCGCCGGCCGAGCTGTACGAGGTGGCGGCGAGATCGCTGGCGCTGGCGGGCATGTGGGAGGAGGCGGCCAGTGCCGTCAGGAGGCTAGAGGTGATTTGGTACTCACCAGACGTACTCGCGTTGGCAGGGGTTTTGTTTGTCTCTAAATATTTTGCGCATTTTTTGCAAGTTGTATTACAGCACCTTCTTGTCGTGATGTTCTTTCAAGTACCTTGGCTGATTGTTGCTTGCGCATGAGGGGGTGCTGTGTCGTTGTCGTCGGAGGAGGTGACCACCCACGAGGAACAAGCTGGAGGGCGTCGTACTCAACAGCAATTCTTGCTGGTCTCCTCTGCTCTCTTGTTCCGGCCTGTCTGGCTGTGAAGGTGTGCCTCTCAAGTTCTCAACATCACGCATGTAAATCTTGTCGTTCTTTTTCATTTTTCTCGTGAAACAGAAGCTGTCGCCTCGCAAGGCCCGAGAGGGAGCCGGCGCGGCAGCAAGGACGTCCGCCGCGGGCCTCGGGACCTACGAGATGATCCTTGGCGCCGCTCTGGCCGCCGGCTGCTTCGAGGCCGTCCTGGCGCAGGCGGACGCTGCCCGTGCCGCCCTTAGGGACGCGTCCTCCTCGTCCTCCTCTTCGTCGGAGTACGACCAAGGGGCCAGTCGAGGTGATTTTTTGCTGACGAAGAGTGCGTTAATTTGTTCAACATTAGTGCATAAATTTAACGTACGACACAATATGTTCCACGCTGGAGTTTTTCATGGCGATATGCACATACGGCATTACTCATAGAGTATATTTGAAGTGACAAAGGAGATATGTTCGTTGAGTCGGCAGGAGCGGTATACTACGCTCAAGACTTACACGCACACAGAAGCGGTACCCACCGATAACGGCAGAGGTGCCGACAAATGCGCTGCATACCACTCGCTTCAGGGAGATGAAAAACAGAAATAACGAAGCACACCAATAAACGGGCGGCACTGTCTGCTTAAATTTTTTGTCCACGTCGTTCCTTGTGCCAGGCGGGCAAGGCAGAGAGAGGCGTGAGACTCGACTGATGCCGTGGGTGTTGGTAGTGCGGTGGTGGCGGTGGTTGAAGTTGTGTTTGTTGTGTAACGCACAGGCAGGAGTTGGTCGAAGCTCTCCTGGGTCGACTCGACCACGTCCATATCCAATGCGCGCTCGTGCCCACTGATCACCCCTCCCGTGCTCCCTTCCGTGTGTGTGTGATCGAACCAATGCGCATCACAGGCGGCGGTGGCGGCGTTCGCGAGCTCAACCCCGCAGCGCTGGCCCACGAGGCCGCCGCCGCCGGTCGCCTCGGGCAGTGGGACCGCTTGTCCCCGATGCTGGCGAAGGCGATGAGGTCTCCCGACCTGAGAGGCGTCGCCGGGTCCCGCCTCTACACGGCGCTCATCACTGCGGCGGCCGCCTGCGGGAAGCCCAGGCGCGGGCTGGAAGTGTTTCAGGAGATGGTGGAGGAGTCGCGCTCGGGCGGCGGCGGCGGTGGCGCGGGTGGGAACGGAGGCGGGGTTGATGCTGCCGTGCTCGGGGCTGCAGCCGCGGTAGTGTCAGGCGGCGGCGAGTGGAGCGATAGCATCTTCGGGGAGGACGGTACCACCGAGGGGGAGGCAATGGAAGGAGCTTTTTCGCGAAGCGGCGGCGGCGGCGGGGAGCGCAAGCTGCCGCCGCCCGACGGCGCTACCTTCCTGGCCGCGCTGGAAGCCTGCGCCGCCGTGGGCGGTGAGGAGTCGGTAACGCTCGCCATCGGCGTCACGAAGGACGCCGCCGCCGCTGCGAGGGAGTTCCAACGGCCAGCAGACGGCGGTGGCGGGGGGGACGCGAAGAAGCCGAGGCTCTCGAGTCGGCAGCTGGCGGCGGTGCTGTCGAAGGCCGGAGAGGTCTGCGCCGCCGTTGGGAAGGAGTCGACCGCGCTAGCTCTGGCCGCGAAAGCGGAGCAGCTCGTCGGCGAGGCGGAGGCGCCGGAGGGGCCGGGTGCGGATAGACCCTAGATGATTTTGACATGGGGTAGCAGGCGCAGGGGCGGTGCTCGGTAGGCTGACAGGCAGGCTTCTACGGTCGGTGGGTAGACTTTCTCGCCTCTAAAAAGTGCTACAACAGCGGCACTAAGGCAGTGTAGGTGGTAAGCTCTCGTGTATGCCGTAGCTGGCGTGTCCCGGACTGATATCGACGGATAGCGAGATTTTGTTTTCTTTTTGTAGCAAGAAGACCGAACATGACAGCTGTGAAAGTGCAAGGAAAAGAAGTTGTGGAGGCAGAAAGAAAACACGTCGACGGCGGGGTCATTTGAAGGGACGCGCCTGACGGGGTGGTTGTCGTTGGAGGTGGGGAACGAGTGGGTAAGGGGGGCGAACTTGTTCTTGCGCACATAGGAGGAGACGAGGGGGGGTCCCGCAAGCCGGAACCCGTCTTTGACATGCTATTCTACTGCTGCCCTGGATACGCCGGTTCGAATGCGCTTGTACTGTGGTGATATCCGACTAAATTTGTGCTGGAGCTATCCGAACGCGGCGATGAACGTTTGAGTCCAGCCCCCGCACCTGTCCATGCTGATACTGTCATCTACGCAGCCACTGACTGACTGCCATGCATCGTCTTTCGAGTTTCCCAGACGCAACACAAATAGGCTGCTTGCTCAAATTCGTGCCGAACAAGCAGTTCGATATATCATCATGCCTTCTTTTTAAGATCCGTTTCGACCGCGGTAGACAGAGGAGCACCTTGTTCATGGACAACAATATCGTGCACCACACGCCCCTGTGTGCTCCTGGGCGAGCTCGTGAACCAGAATCAACCAGGTATTCCTGTGTGCTTAGGTGTTCCCAAAGTGGGACTCCCCCACCCCAAGAACGCTAGCTCTACAACATACCTGGAGATCGAGCGCGGTAGCAATAGCACCTTCTTTGCTCAAGCCCGCCAAAAGCTCAAACGGTTCGTCATACGTACAGGGCTATTGTCACGGCAGACATCGGAACCCCCCACACCGACACCAGCAGCAAGTAGCCAGCAGCAACAACCGCAACGAGATCAAAACACCAGCAAATGGCTAGAGAATTTTCGCGTCGCCTCTTCTTTTCTTGCAGCTGATTGTTTGCGTTGCAGTACCGCCAGTGTGGGTGTGCGTGTTTTCGTCCTATGTATTATGGCGACAGTCCCCCCATTTTTCGTGGTGAGACGTGCACTACACTTTTCAGCGCATCTAACTAGTGTACTACACTTTTCAGTGTAATTTTTCGCACAACTGCAACCATCCAGGGTCACACAGGAGGGGTTAAAAAACACCAGGGCTTTTTTTCTTCTATTTTGCCCCACCGCCAGTGTACCCCTTCAAGGAAAGGGCGGCGAACACAAACCCACGAACACTCCACGCGCCGCACACACCGATACCATCAGAAACTCATGCAACCCCCCCTTCCCCACCCCTGACGACTATCTATCCCCCACCAACCCTATCCCTAACTCCGGACGTTACGCTACTCGCGAAGACAAGCAGGAGCGTTTTGTTCGGTAAACGACACACGATACAACCACCGTTGACTGGGTCAACCCACTATGTTGTCTTGTGCGTTGTCTCCAGCACAAAACACACCAACCAACCGAGTCTCCCTTCTTCGCTCTGAACATACCTTCTTCCCTGTCAGTTCCCGCAAAAAAGGACAAGTCATCAGGGAACCACCCCCCAAACGAACTTCTACATCTTCCCGACGTACTTGTGCTGCAGCTGGTACTCCTCGTTCAGCGCCCGGAACACCTGCTGCCCCGTGCCCGTCGGCAGCGACGGCCCCAGCAGCAGCCCGTGCAGCTGCCTCATCTCCCTCCTCGAGCACGCTTGCATCACGGCGAAGACCCCGGACAGCAGCGCCGCCCTCGGCGCCGGCTCTAGGGCGGCCGCCCCGGCCAGGGACACGTACTCCAGCAGCAGGAACGCCGCGTACTTTTTCAGGACCTCTTTGTGGGGGACGAACTGCTCTAGCACCCTCGAGAACACGCTCGCCGCCGCCACCTGCTCCTCCATCGACACCGCGAAGTGGCTCCCGTGGTCCCCGGCATCAGCCTCGGCACCGGCGCTTGCGCTCTGCCTTGTTGCGTTGTCGCCGCCGGCTCCGGAGCCGACCCCGCCGCCGCCGCCGCCTCCGGGCGCGGGCGCCGTGGCCAGGCGGAAGAACAGGCGGAGCAGCGAGCGGCACAGAGACGCGAACGGGGGCGTGCACGAGTACACCTTGCGCGCGTAGTGCTGGAGCACCGTCCCGACCACGCGACAGGTGGCGCGGAAACACCTCAGGCTCTCCCGGACGACAAAAAACGCCTCCCTGCTGCCGCCGCCGTCCCGGGGGGCGGCCGCTACCGCCACTGTCGCGTCGATCGCGGCCCGGACCGCCGGTTCGATCGAACCCAGAACCACCGACACCACGCGAGCGGTGACGGAGGAGTACGGCTGCCGATCGAGGAGCCCCTCCAGCGCCTCCAGCGCCCCGGTCGCTTCCCGAAGCCGATTGCCTACACCACCGGCGGCGGCGGCGGTGGCAGCCCCCCGTAGCTCTCGGCACAGAGCAGCGGCCAGCGAGAGCGCGCGCCTCGGCATCACCGCCTTGAAGGCGGCCCCGCGGCCGGCTCGGGTGGCCAGGCGCAGGAGCGTGACCGCCGTGGGGCGAGTTCCCGGGCCCGGAGGCGCGGGGAGGGTTATCTTCGCAGTCTCGTCCCCCGCCAGCTGCAGCATCTCCAGAAGCGTAGTGACTATCTCGTCCAGCTGAGCCTCGGAGGCGTGCTGCACCAGCAGGCAAAACGCCGTGTGGAGGACGAGGTCCTCCTCGGCGCGCTGAACCCGGCGCGCCGCTCCGTCTCTGTCTACGTAGTCGCCGCCCCCGCCGCCTGCAGCGGCGGGGACGTCGATGATTCCGACGAATGCCTCCACCAGCCGCCGCACGGACAGCCGGGGGAGGGGAGGGTCCAGGAGGTGAGAGCACCCGCACACGGCTCGGACCAGGTGGCAGCACGCCGATCTCTCTGACGGCATCGCCGCCGACTCCGCCGACCTGCCGACGACGCCGATACTCGGATAATAATCACCCTGATACCTCTCGGCCCGGTCCGCGAGGTAGGCCACGCAGTCCTCCACCCACCGAGAGCGAGACCTCGCCGCTCCCCCCGGCTTCCGGTCCGCGAACACCAGCCGCTGCGCGTCGGGGCCGAGGAAGCTCAGGCGGAGGGCGTCGCTCCACACGAGCAGGAGCGGGGGCGACACCGGTGGCGGCGTCGGCGTCGGAGTCGATAGCCGTGCTGCCGCTTGGACGGGCAGGCAGCCAGCAAGGTGGGAGACCGTGGCCACCAGGCGCTGGTCGAGGGCGGCGGCCGAGGGCGGCGGCGGCTGCTGCTGCTGGGGCTCGGACCCGCCACCCTCCACCGCTCCGCCCAACCCATCGTCGTCGTCATCAGAGTCTAGTTCCATTGCTGCCTCGGCGGACGAGGTGGCGGCGGCTAGAGAGGCGCTAGCGGCGGCGGCGGCGTCCTTGGCCAGGCGGAAGCTCTCCCCCGCCACGAATCCCGACAGCACGCCGTGCAGCAGCACGAGCCGCCTGCTGCTGCTGACCTCGTCTTCCTCCTCCTGTGCCGGGGGCGCATCTTTACGCGGGTGGTGTCCCCGCTTCCGCCGCCGTTTCTCAGCTTCGCCGCCCCCGCTGGCCGGGCGCGGCTTGATCAGGCCCAGCCCGACGATCGCCTTCAGCGCGGTCTTGGTGTCTCCCCTCAGCACGCACCGCTCGGCCAAGAACGGCAACAAGCTCGCCGAGGCTCGAAGCAGATGAGCCCGCGACGACTCGCCGCCGCGCTCCCCGCTCGCCGCCGCCGGCTCGATCGCGCGCAGGAGGGCGTCTCCCTGCGGGAGGCGTTCCAGGAGCGGGGACTCCGGCGGTAGCGAGCGCCCGAGCCTGAGGGACAGCCTCCTCAGCGCCGCCACGGCTTCGACGAGGCTTTCTTCTCGAGGACCGGCGCTGGCGGGCGAAGCGAGACTACCAAGCCCCCCCCGAGAGGACGGCACGTGGTCGTCCAACAAGAGTGCTGCTGCATCACCGTCCGCCGGTTTCTTGCCTCCTCCTCCTCCGGCGATGCCGCCGCCGCTGCCGCATCGAGACGAAAGGCTTCGAGCAAGAACGGTGTCGAGGGCATCAGAGGCCACCAGCATCGCCGCAATGGCCTCCTCGTCTAGGAAACCCGACGGGAACCGCTCGGTCATCATCAAGAGGCAACACGCCTCGAGCAACTCTTCTTCCTGCTGCCGCCGCTTATCCCGTCCCTTCCTCTCCGCCTCCCCACCGCCCGTCACCTCGGCTGGGCTGTCACTGCTGCTCCCCTCTGCGGCACCGCCGCGGCCCTTCCCCTTCTCGTTGGCGGTAGTAGTAGCGGCGGTAGCGAGAGCCTGGACGGCCGCCACGATCGTGCCTACCGCCGGAAACCCGGGCGGCAATCTCGCTGACCCGCTTTCCTTCTTGTCCCCGGTGCCCCGCGCGCCGCCCACAGCGCGTCTGACTGCGTGGAACACCCTCGCGAGGATTACCGCCGGGGCTGTGCATGATACACAATAAAACACGGCAGTGCAAAGAAAAAACAAAGCGAAGTTCGTTGTCGGAGACGGCAAAAAAACTGACGTTTGTTGTAACCGAAAGAGCTCGAAGTGCATCGTTGTTGGAAAACGGGGGCTACCTAGAACAGATGTCGCGTACCCGGATTATGGAAGAAAAAATGCGTCAGGTTTTCGTGCCTGGTTCAACGAACGGACGCTGGCTTGGTGGCACGACTCAACGGCGACGACTGAAAAACGGCAATGTGTGACAACGAAACAAAACAAAAACGCCGTTCCGAGATAACAGCAGCACAAAACAGGAGAAAGGGCGAGCGACAGGCAAGCGCCCATCAGCATGCTAAATACCTGAACATCGCACGGCGTGGCGCACGCTATCGAGGAGGACACAAGCACCAACAAACCCTGGAACACTGCTGCGCAGGCAGTCAGGCCGCTAAAGGCTGAACGGTACCCGGAAAATGCTGGCACCGGCCAAATGTACAAGTGCAAGCACAACGTACCGGATTTCGCCACGGCTTCCATCTCGTAAAACGAGGCGTCTGAGAGGAGCCTCAAGGGCGGACTCTCTTCCTCCCCGCGACCGTCGAGGATATCGGCCGCGCATCTCGACAGCAGCGCTTCCAGAAAGAGCGCCACCTGAACCCCAAACCAAAGCAAACCCAGCGCACAGGATCGATCGCGTGTTTTCAAAGGTATCTAATCTGCGAGCGTTGCTGCATCGGCACCACAACGGTAACTGTGGGGGGGAAGGGAGACACAGAGAGACAAACCAGGTAGGGGGGGCGGGAACCGCTTCTGTTACTTGTGTCGATGGATGGTACCAAAGGTTGCCCGCCCACCTGTTCCTCCTCCGCGAAGCCGACCCAAACGGGCAGATACGGCATCATCATGCTCCAGCCCGCTCCCCCGCCGCGGCCGTCGCCGTCCTCGTCCCCCCACGTAACCGGGCCGTGCCCACCGCCGCCGCTGCCGCGGCACGCGCCGCAAGCATACGCCACGAGGCCCCTCGCCTCGTCCTCGAGCTTTTCCTCGCCTCCTTCTTCCCGCGCTGCTCCTCCTGGTGCCGCTTCTTCCAACTTCCCTTCCTGGTCGTCATCCATCCCTTCCGCTCCCGAGGGGGGAGAGGCAGGCCGCCGTTCTGCCGCCCCCGTCGTCCCGGACGACTCGAGCGCCGCGACGCCGTTGAGGTGGGCGTAGATCTGCTGGACCCTGTGCACGGCCACCTGCTGCAGCGTCTTCTCGAGCCTCGACCTCACGCCGACCTCCTCGTCATGTGCACCCGTCCCCGCCTCCAGGCTGCTGCTGCCGCCGCCGCCGCTGCTGCTGCTTGTCTCGAGGGCAGCGGTGGCGGCGGCGATGATGCGCGGCAGCGAGGCGTCTGCTTCATCCCCATCCGGGGGCATGAGCACAGATGCAGGAGGGGCTGGGGCCGTTGTCGCTCGGGCTGTTTTGTCCCCGTCGCCGCCTTCCTCGACCAGAGTGTTGCCGTCGTCTTGTGGTATGGCCGCCCCCGCCCCCGCCGTTGCCGACGACGAGGAGTCGAGAACGGCAAACCAGAAACGGCACCTCGTGTCGAGGTCCAACAACCAGCCGTGCACGTCGAGGGCCGGCCGGAAGGACAGCATCATCTCCGACATTGGAACCCCGCCGCTACCGCTTCCGTCCCCAAGGGCTCCGTGCTGTTCCGATTCCGCCCGCTCCTCTCCTCTTCTCTGCTTCTTTTTCTTCTTGGAGGCCGGCGGGGACGGGGTGGCGGCGGAGGCCGCGGCCGCGGCCGCGGCGGCCTGTCGCAGCGGCACCCCGAAGCTTCGAAGGCTCTAACACGGTTGGCCAGGAATAAAGACAAAAAGCGAGGTGGCGGGAAGAGGGGGGGAGGCAATCGTTCGACCTTGGCAATAAAACGCCCCGATATGCCTAGCGCGTGAGCTTGCTGAGAAAAACCACCTCGTGCGACAAAAACACGCACGCAGAAGGTCAACAAGCAACATCTTGCCGGTAGGAGATCATGACCCCGATCGGCCGATACAATCTCGGGGACCACCACACAGCTGTTATTAGAGCGGGGCACGCGAAGGTATTGTCGTCGACCCAAGACTCGGAAAGCACCAAGGGCCACACAGCAGCGGATGTCGGTAGCCGACGTGGTGAATCATCTAGATTTTCTTTCCCTGTTGCTCCTGCCAACCTTCCGCGACTCCTCCCCCCCCCCCC